AAACTAAGATTAATAAGACAATAGGAAGATTAATGTGTGAGCTTGTTTGAGAAACCATCAAACAAGAGGTTAATTGAATTAATAACTTAATTAACCATTACAAATCTTATTTAATCCAAATCATTAATCTAGGGAATTAATTAGTTTAAACATTTGATCAACGCTTAAATTAGTTAATTGTCTAAGGGTTAGGAGTAATGAACATGAACCTAACCATTATAATTGGTAACCAATAGCAATTAATCTACCATAAATACAAATAACCATAGGAGTGAATTGGTTGAACCTAAATAGAAACATCTTTATCAAATTTGGTGAATAGTTGTTGCTTTAGTTATTTAGTTAATTTAGTGTGCCTAAGTTTCTAGTCTTGCAAAACTAGAGAAACCCCTTTTACTTTTATTAGTTGTTTTAGTTAAAATTAGTTATTAGTTTAATTTTCCGTTCCCTGAGTTCGACACCTTACTTACTAATCTATACCACTAAAAGACAGGTTCACTGCCTTTGTGTGTTCAATTTATTAATTAAAAGTATGGATAAAACAAGTGCATTTTACACACATCAGTTGGTTTTAATTGTATTAGTAATTTAAGTCTAACTTTACCAATGATTAACAAACTCATGTCAAATTATGTATGGTCACACACAATTAAACACAGAACCAATTATGAATATGAATATGCTATGTAAGATTTATTATGTAAACGCAATTATAGTCACAATCCACGTTCTCTAGCACGGCTAAGTTTATTTACTCTAATTACTAACTAAGATTGGTCAATCCTAGCTCTAACAGTTTAATGTTCACTAAATCATTAGGTAAACAAGTTCATCCAGTTAATGGTCACTAAGCTACACAGAACATGAAATTAAGCAACTAAAGAAACAAACACAAGCATGCTAGGTAACTAAAAATCAAACACAAGCAATTTACCAACTAAATAAATCCATAAAAATTAAGCTATTCATAAGTTGGAAGCTTCATCTAGCTAAACAAGAGTAGCTAAATTCAGCTGCTCATAATAGCAACTAACACACTAACACAAATCAAAGTATAATGAAACATGTTCCTAAGTAATAAGTAAACTAAATTATGGACCTTCACTCTTTTGGTGTTGAAACCTCTTTCCAGGACTTTTCTTCTGCTAACAATCGCCTTATGGAGTCCCTTTTTCTAGCCAAAAGTCTCTCTAATTCGTAATGACCAAGAGTGCTTAAATATCCTTAAAAATCCCGCGCCACGTCATGGCTATCTCTACCACGGCGTGATCCTCAAGTTATCCGTATCGGGCAAGGACTCTTTCTTTACGCGATCTTTATCTTCTAGAATACTCATGCCACGTCGTGGGTATCCATGCCACGTCGTGGTTTTAGTAATTTCCGTGGATTTCTTCATCTCTTGTGTTTCAAGTCTCCCATGTTCTATAAATTGTCGCTTTTGGTCCCTCTCTTCGAAAATACTTCTAATTGACTGAAAATAATAATTTAAAGTCATAAGTATCATTATTATCAACTTATTAATAAAAATGTACTTAAATATTGCCTAAAAATAAGTATAAATATGGCAATATCATGGTCAATGTATATGGTACACCGAATCCCATACAAATAATGGCGCCACATCTTGAGGGCGAACACCACTACCCCCAACTCCAAATCATGGGTAGGATACCTCGTCTCATGAGGCTTTAGCTGCCTCAATGTGTATGTTATCACGTGCCCTCTCTGCATAACCACCGCACCCAACCCTGATATCGACACATCACAATATACCACGAAATCCTCCATTCCCTCTGGAAGGGCTAACACCAGGGCTTCACATAATCTCTTGCGAAGAGTCTCAAACGAGTTCTGCTGCTCGAGACCCCAAATAAAAACAACGCCTTTTCGGGTCAACCAGGTGAGTGGAACGACAATCTTGGAGAAATTCGTGATCAATCTCTGATAGTAGCTGACCAATCCCAGAAAACTCCTGATCTCGGTGGGGTATCTCAGCACCTCCCAACTCATAACAGCCTTAATCTTTGCCGGATCGACCAATATCCCATTCTGATTAACGAGATGTCCCAAAAACTGGACCTCTCGTAACCAGAAATCACACTTGGAGAATTTGGCATAAAGCCTCTCCGATCTCAATACCCCAAGAATCTCTCTCAGGTACTCAGGAAACTCACCAAGTCCATAGAAGGACTCGACGAGTCGGATCGATTTGCTCTGCGTTTCGTGATCAGTGGTAACCCATCGAGTGAAAGGCCAACTCAACAAGTCGAGTGAGGCATTAGGAGGATTCAGAGGACATGCATGGACTCACTGAGTCTGGTCAAAATTGGGCCATTGACTGGATTTGACTTTCGTTGACTTTTAGGGTTTGGTCAACATTTGGACATTTGGACCATTGGTGGGGTAAATTGGTATTTTCCCCTTCTGTGAGATTATAGTAAGGGTTTAAATTAGGGATAATTATTATGTGATATGCAGGAGCTAGACCTGGGAGTAGAGATCACGATCCCGATTTCGAGATTTCCATTCATTAGCTTACGAGGTGAGTCTTCTCATGATACTTACCTTATGTGGTAAACCTTAGGTGTGACCAGGGTCTTATGTGTATGAATTGTGTAATGAGATATCTTGCTATTTACTTGTGTTATGCTTTATGAGTAGTATATTTTGATGCTGAGTTGAGGGACTGGAGGGTCCATATGAGTTGTGGGACCAAAGGTTCCCACTGAGACACATCGACCAGAGGGTCTAACTGAGTTATAGTCTAAAGTGACTATTGTGCTCTGAGTGGTATTTTGGGGAACTCACTAAGCTTTTATGCTTACCGTGTTATGTGTTATGTTTTTCAGGTAGTTCCGAGGATCGCGACAAGGCACCGGCATGATTGTACACATCGGTAGAAGATTGTTTTTATGATTCTGGGATTGTGTTTTCCTTTTGTTGACATTTGAGAAATAAGTGTTTTGAGAATTATGATACATGTTTTATTGTGTTAAAAATGAAAATTTTGGTTGAAAAATTACGTTGTTACATTATGTTAGGAAGCTAAAGTTGGTGTTGGGCTCTATTAAGTCATGTTAGGTCATAAAGTCAGGAACTTTACGACTCTAGACGTCTATTAGGCTTGAACTTGAAGATTTAGACATTTGGTCTTAAAGGAATAAGACCTAAAAATGCAGTTTTGGGTTTTAGCACCGTACGTTGGGTGTATTGGGGTAGTATGCGGGGCGTACATACAAAAGTGCCATAATGGGCCATATTTGGGCCTTGGGTCTTTGGGGTTTTGGGTCATGAGTTGTTGGGTCAGATGTAGGAAGGGTAAAATAGAGTTTTACTCATTGATATGATAGAGTATGAAATGGACCTTGGACTATGGGAGATTGCCTTAATTATTGATTAGGAATAATTTGGATGTGTTCAATGTGAAGAGCCCGGTAGTAGCAGCGTGTGTGGTTTGGTTATCTCTAGACTAAGATGAGTTTGATCACTATACTGTAGGATACTAGGGTTGTATGTGCTTGTTGTCTGTGTGACTCTTGATGTATGCTTGTATACCTATATGATGTATGTATGTGGGGTGAAATAGACCCGTACAGATGAAATATACCGATTGAGTGGAAAATAGACTCGGGGGGTTAAATAGACTCAGTACAGCCTTGAGTTGTCATGTAAGTTGAAATAGACTCGGGGTGAAATAGACGCGAAGGTGAAACAGACCTGGTTCAGCCTTGAGATGACATATATGTATGGTATGCAATATTTTGGGGAACTCACTAAGCTTTGTGCTTACGGTTTCATAGTTATGGTTTCAGGTACTTCCAGTTCGAAATGTAAGGGCCCGACGTGACTTCACATCATCCTCCAAGTTTATTCTGCATTTGATTAATCTTGATTTTTACTTTGATGTTTAAATACTATTTTTCCACATCAAATGATTTTGGAATGGAATGTTATATGAATTAGTGTTATTAAAATGAAAGTTTTACTCTAAATTTTTGGGACATTACACCTTTATACCTGAAATCACCCATTTCTACAAGCTTATTGCAAGAAAGAACATGATTTAATGGCATATGTAATAAATTATAACTTTGATTACTTCCAACATTGAAAGAACCATTAGCACAAGAATGATTTCTTCTGGAAATCGATTAATACCACTTTCAACAACATGATTAACAACAAGCAATTATACTATGTTAGGATGCATACAATAACAAAACTAAGAAAATATTTGACATCACTATCATCAAGAATCTACATAATTATGTTTGATTTAAGACATTAAAAAGATAAACGTATTTGATTACTGTATAACTTGGACTTCGAATCAACTAACGTAATCTACCCACAAAAATTGATATCATAGATTATATCTACACCAAAACATATGTAGTTTGGAGCAATTATTGCATAAATCCCTCGATTCATTCCCGTTCTTTTCCATTAGAAACAGATACTCTAAAAATTCTTTATAAGTACTCATCTTTTTAGTATCCAAGGGCTTTATTAGTTTATGCAACAAAAATGGCAATACAAATGCCCTTATATAAACAGCCTCAAACATAACTGTGATCCATAGGTACTCCATGATATACTTTTTCAATGAAAAAAATACGAGTGTCAGATTTCGGATAAGATTTTTGCAAATCAAGATCAACTCCAAAATAATCATAAATATTTGAGAATGCGGGGTACTTTGAAAAGGATATTTATTATTAAAAAAAATTTAATATATATATATATATATATATATATATATATATATATATATATATATATATATATATTAAATATTTTATTTATAAAAAGGATATTTATTATTAAAAAAATTTAAATATATATATTAAATATTTTATTTATAATGGTTAGATTACTTGATTTTTATTATTTAATTTAAAAAGAAAATGAGAAAACCCATATTAAGTATTAACTATTAGTATCCTATCCATTGGGTGCCTATTGCTATCTTCAACAGAGCTTAAAATAACTAGGCAGCAATGGAGCTCTGCATTTCGGCTCCTCCAACGTTATCCTATGTGAAGTCTTGTGTTGTTTCTCCACCAATCTCTTCAATTTCTCTCTGCAACTTCTTGAGACCCACCAAACAATTCACTTCTCTTAGAATATCTCGTTCTTCTCCTCACTTCCTCCATTTCCCGAGAAAGATATCAATCTGCGCGAGGGCTGTCGCGCCACCGGCCGTTACCGACACCGTCAAAGACCCTCTGCCCGCTGATCTCATCGTTCAAGAAATCCAGGAACCGAATTGCAGGGTGAGCTCCTCTAGTTTCTTGTAATGTTCAATGTACTTACAATTTCCATTCTTAACTGCCTGGATCCTATTTTATCTTCTTTGTTTCCTTCCTTTAATCAAGTTAAGGTTTTTCTGTATTGCATAAGAATTTCTTTGTTTTATTAAATTGGATAAAACCCACCATTCTTTCGCTTTCATTAGCAACCCTATATATGCACTTAAAATGTTTGTTAAAAGTCCTCACCGACATTACATTATATTACTACTTCTGCTATTTTGAAACAAACGCTGCAACTATACTAATCTTCAAAATCTGCAGATTCTGTTGAAAGTAGAAGTTCCACCTATCGTATGTGATGATTGTTACAAAAGGGTGATAAATGAGTTTATGAAGAAGGCCAAGGTGCAATTAGATTTCATCATCTTGACCTCAACCATTCTTTCATTCAAATTTTATTTTGCATTCTAAAATTTTCTTGTTTTCTTCCCATTTTGTTCAGGTTCCTGGATTTCGCCCTGGAAAGAAAGTTCCAGAAAGCATTCTCATAAGTTATATTGGAAAAGATGGTGTCAGAAAAGCAACCGTTGAATCTATTCTCAAAAGAACTCTTCCACATGCCATGTCATCAGTATGTAATCTCTACCTAAAAATAGCAATATATTTTCATTAACTTAAAACCACAAAGCAGTCAACTTTGAAGTTTGACCATATTGATTCACACAGGTAGATGGACGAGCTTTGAAGGACTCAATCCGCATTACATCCACATTTCCTGAAATGGAAAAGACGTATTCTTCTTTAAACATCCTAAAGTATGTCAAAGATTTTACCTTTTTAAGTAAATTCATTATATATTTACATGGGTTTTTGATCTTGATATGTTTTCTGTGCATAGATACGATATTATTGTGGATATAGCACCTGAAGTGAAATGGGTTCCAGAAAATGGTTACAAGAATTTGAAGATAGTGGTTGAGCTTGACAATGAAATAGATGCTAAAACAGCTTGTGAAAGAGAATTAAAAAGGCGTTACAAATCTTTAAGTACAATGAGAATAGTCACAAATAGAGGACTACAGGTTATTTTGTAGTAATTTTCAACTAATCTTTTTCTAATTATCCAAGATTTTGTTATATAATAAATTGGGTATATACAAATGGCTTCCATAGATTGGTGATGTTGCTGTTTTGGATATATCTGCAACAACAGTGGAACAAGAAGGATCAGAAGTGAAAAATGTTCCAGCTGCAGAGAGTAAAGGTATGATGGAATGGAATCACAAGGGAATGGAATTAAATTGAATGGAATGGAATGGGTCATTACATTCCATTATAATGTTTGGTTGGATTTGCACTTTTGCAGGTTTCCAATTTGATACAGAAGATGGAGATAGAGTTATTCCAGGTTTTCTTGATGCAATAATTGGAGTTCAAGGAGGTGAAACAAAATCTTTCCCACTTACATTTCCAGATTCATGGAAACAAGAAGATCTACGTGGCCTTCCTTGTCAATTTACAGTAAGCCCCCTCCTGTTACAAATTTTGTTAATAATCTACACAAATATTAATTTTCTTGCAAATGTATCAATAGGTTGAATGTAAAGAACTCTTCTATAGAGAATTACCAGAGATGAATGACTCCATTGCTGATAAGCTTCTTCCTGGAAGCACTACTATCGATCAGGTTATTAACTTTGTCTATTCATCATGTTTTGACTTTTTACACAATTTGATTCGTGTTTTTGACTAAATGTTGTTTAATTATGTTTTTTTAGGTTAGGGAGTCATTGTTGGAGAGGTGTGTGGAACTTGAGCAAACAGCTAAAGATCAAGCAACAGATAATGCTATACTTGATCAGCTTCGAAAGGTACTTAGACAGGGGTAAAATGGTAATTTTCCATGGATTTAATGGATGCTCAGTTAAGCTATGCAATAAAGAATCGCTTTAGAGTTTAGAGACCGTTTTTGCAACAAATGAAACATCTAGATGAAAATCGTACCTTTTGACAAACCCCAGGGACTAAAGTTGTAATTTACTTTTTCTTTTTTCTTTTTTATTTAATCAGATTAAGTTATTGAAATTTGATTCCAGATGATTCAAGTTGAAATCCCACAATCTTTGTTTGAAGAGCAAGGAAGACAGCTTTATGGAGCTAGACTATTACAAATACAGGTTTTGTAACAAATATATGTTAATGTTACACATTTGATTAAATTTGAGATTTTTATTTTTTATAAAGTTTTTAATTAAATATTGAATTTTTTAGGCAAACATGAAATTAAATGAAGAACAGTTGGCAATGCTTTCAAGCCCAAAAGCTGTGAGAGAGTATTTGGAAAATCAAAGGGAGAATATAGAAAATGTAATCAAGCAGAATCTTGCTGTTGGAGACATTTTTAAACGCGAAAATCTAGAGGTACATTTAAAAAAAAAAAAAAAAAAAAAAAAAAAACAATTGTGAAATCATATTATTTTTACATTTACTAAAAAAATATTATTTTTTACAGTTTTCAACGGATGAGCTTGTGAAAGAGGTTGAGAACTCTGTTGCTGAGTTCAAAAAACACGCGCAAGAGTATGATGAAGAGAGCATTCAAGAGCAGGTATATTCAGAGGTTACCTCTGAATGGTTTCATTCAGAGGTTATCAAACAAGCTCTTAATATCTTCTATTTTACCTTTTTTTTGTTGATAAGTTATATCGGGTTTTGTTTCATTGAATGTTGTTAGGTGCAAGAGGTGCTAGAGGGAGCAAAAGTGCTTGAATGGTTGAGAGAAAATGCAGATATTCAATATATAATCAAATGATAAACATAGACACATTTTTGTTGAGTTTAAGCTTAGTTTAAGTTGAATTGATTGTTGCCTAGCCAATTAAAAAAAAAAAAAGTAATTACAAGAAAATCATGTACTTTGACCACTTTTTAAAAAAAAATTGTTTTTTTGCTTTAAAACCGTGTATACTTGTATACGTATACATTAATATAAACACTTATTACCAGTTACCAGATATGTATGCTAGAAAATTGATCGCTAGCCTAAGAGAATCTATCCCATTATCTAAAAGATGTTGCAGTTACAAAATGTCATGCAAGATTCTAGAACGTTTATGAAGCAAGCATCTCATGCAAGTTCGGATCATTCGGACCTGCTCCAAAGCCGCTCCCTCCCCTTCTAGTAGCCACCATATTGAAGACACAAACAAAAAAGTTACAAACATATAGATAGTGTTATCCTCCCATTATTTATCTATCTATCAGCAGTGTCAAGTCTAGAACGTAATTCACTATTTAAATGAAATCTACAGAAAGTGAACACAATAAAAAGTAAAAAATAAAAAAATACTAGTTGCGGGTCTGGATTAGGTAGAATCGTATAAGCAAAAAAAAAATGTTAAAGTTCTTACATTATTACTCAACGAGGTTTTATATTTTGATGTATTTTCGCAATTGTATCGTTACTAATAGTTTCTAAAATATTTTTGGAATATATGAAATCAAATTATCACCTAAAAATTGATCACCCATTTTATTGTATACATAATTCTTTAGCAACTTAATTGCTGAAAATATACGTTCAATTTATTTTTATTTTATTTTTTAATTTAACTTATATTTGGCTATTCGTATTGAATTATACCTTAAAAAAATTTGGCCTTTTAAAATATAGAATATAGGCTACATATTTATATTTTACCAAAAAATATGAAGTTCACTACAAATACTTAAGGTAGGTCACATATTTAATTCGATATAAGTTGTTACAAGAAGGAAAAAAAAAAAAAAAAGATGGGTCAAGTGACCCACATTGCTTAGATATAGTCTCGTCATTGTCTATCAGTTCCTTAGAATCCTTGTGACCCTTTCCAATCCATAGCTAATCGTACTTGTTTCAAGAATTGGCCCAAAGTTTCTAAGTTGCCCCTTACAGCCACTACCAAACATTCAATCATACATGTATATGCATACACACGTACCAATCTTCCTAGATTCTCTAGGATTCCGCTTTGATATCATGTCAGATGAAACTTTCTTCAATATGAACGAGTCACCTTATGAATCTACCGTTGTACATAGTTAAGAATAAGATAGACATTTAGATAATTGACCCTACCCTAAGGTAACAACGAAACAATGATCATGTAATAAGACCAAATCATAAACTCTAAAGATATTTGATTCTAACTGCATACAACCCTAAAGCATTCACTTAGCAACTTATCAATATTAACATAGATTTCAAGTAGCACATAACGATCAACACATAAGGCAAACAAGGCATCTCTCATAGACAGACAATCTAGCATGTAAATCTTGAGTACATCCTTAGCCTATTTTCTAACATGCATATCAATCAGTCGTATAAATAGCATACAAAACAAATATGGGTGTATTGGGAATCACTTTCCTTCTCGAGCTTCAGTTGACCGTACTTATCGCATCATTCCTTCTTTTATAAAAAAACTTTCCTAAAAAGCTTTTATAAAAAATCCCTCGAGCCTTAGTTTGAGTTTGGACACACACTCGTGTTCATCCAAATCCTTCAAACCGAGACTCTGATACCAACTTGTATCGTACCAAATTTTCAACCAATTTTTTTGGAATATAAATTAAACAACCCAAATCCATTTTCTTAAACATAAACATAATTATCCATTAAGTTTAAACATCATAAACAAATCATAGAGTCAAGCATAAGTCTTAAAAACATAATATAGATACGAGTATAGTTACATCGCGCCCTTTCCCTTTTCACCCGAACAACGTGGTTGTAAAAAATTAAATATGATGAGTAAGCACAAAACTTCATGAGTTACCCAATACATCACATATTCAATTACACATACAATGCATACAACAAAAGACTTACGATCTCGTTATAAAGCTCACATCATCTCATACATGTAAGCTCGTGGTCCAACATTGTACTGTCATCATCTTATTGGGCATGTAAGCTCTTGCCGCTTCCCATCAGACCTTTAGGCTTTCGCCATCATCCTATTAGATATGTAGGATCACGGTTTAATTTCCTTCCACCATCATCTCATAAGAAAACATATGATCCTATCATATGACCTTCCAGCTACCATACCAAATGATTACTTTAGTATAAATGGTCACATAAACCTTAATAACACATCCATACAATAATAATATACAAGCATTCTACCACAAAAAGGACATATACTGTTATGCATGTATAGTGAGAAAACTCACATGAAGCTAGAAATCCAGGTCTCACACTCAAGTCTCCACAAGTGAATAAACTAGAACAAACCACTAAAGTTCAATATTAGATGAATCTCAGTAACCATTACCAACAAAGATCAACCTCAGTCTAAAACTCCATGCACATCCAAGTTTTACCAAAAGTCAAATTGGTCAAATGATCTAGATGAATCTCAGTAACCATTACCAACAAAGATCAACCTCAGTCTAAAACTCCATGCACATCCAAGTTTTACCAAAAGTCAAATTGGTCAAATGATCAATGGTTAACACACCGCAACCAACTCATGGTCGTGTCATGACAACTACAATCCAAAATAGTTATGATACTTCCTATGCTTCTGTAACACCTCAAATATTAGACCAATATTTTCCAAAAATCATATTTCACAACAAAATTATCGAATACAGTATCATCTTAAAATAACAAGTATCATAATTATCAGAGTTCATAAACATGTCCTAGTAGTAAATTTCCAGTGCGTGTGTACAATCAGATATTCGCCTTCCCGCGGTCCTATGAAATATGTAACACTCGATGGTTCCAAGGTATTATTTATTTATTTAATCATTTATTTTATTGTCAAAGCATGTAAGTTATGTTGGGCTTAGAGGATTTGGGCCTCTATATGTGGTCTTAAATGAGGTCGTATGTTGGGCGTAAACCTGGTGTATGTGGGGCGTATAGGGATAACAAGGAAATGCGAAGGCATGCACGTACATGCAACGTACAAGGTTGTACGTGGCCAGCTCAAAACCCTAATTTCTAGGGTTTAATCCCTATATAATGTCATTAAGTCCCATGACTTAGATTTCTAGTATGTTGCTGTTATGAGTACTATGATTATGATGCTAGCTTATTTTGGCAAATCCATGATTAAATTTTATGAATTTGAAGGTGATGAGCAAAAAACCCTAATTAGGTGATTTGCTAGATAAGTGAAATCAAGCTCATATATTAATAGATTAAGATATATGGATGATATATTCGTGAAGCTGAATTAGTTTAAATGATGTTGAAGAATCAACAAAGTTATGAACAAGTGTGGTAAACCCTAGCTAAATGAAATGTTAAGATACTTGAAAGTAAGATTATGTCTTGATGGATTAAGATATATAGACGACTTATTCATGAAAACTAATTGATTTTAGCTATAAAAGTGGGATGGAAATATTTGTATGATAAATCGAATTATCATGCTAAATGTGGATTGAAAATCAAGCTCTTTATTGAATGGTGTTATTAAGAGCTTAATATATTATTTGAATAAGATTTAAAATAATATCGAACAAATGGCACCAAATTAAGGATAAGAGCCAAAGTGATATTTAATTTTCACTAACTAACAAGATGAGTTTTATGGAGCTTTATAAATACACATACATGACTTAATGAACTGAGAACTATGTTTTATGACACTCTATGCAAGAGTAAGTATTGATTACGTTTATATGATTTTCAAAAGATGAAACTATGATAAATGATATGTTAATGATCTAAACATTATGAGGATATATTCATATGAACTCTTTTTAAAAAGTATATCAGTGAGTGAATGCTAAGTATTTTGAAACGGATTAAAAGGGAAAAAGTATGTTACAAGCTTTATGATTATGTTTGAATAAATGAATAATAAGCTAGCCACAATTTTCTCGTGGGGGATGAGCAATAACAAGACTCTATTTCTATGGTACCTCTTGTTTCTAAGTGGATGTATAGAAAATAGATGATGTGATAAAATGATTTTTTCGTCTACCGTGATAAGTTATAAAGGGTCGTACAATGCGACTAAGTCTTACCGAACCCCATAGTCAACATATTGTTGTGAGTTTGGTTCTATTGGACCTCAAATTCAGCATGTAGTCGTGACTTAAAGAAATAATAAAAGACCCGAGATGGCCTGTAAGTTTGTATGGTGTGAGGACAGGTATTACATAGTCAATGAATTGTTTTAAGTTTTATGAAAGTTAAAAAAGCTTATGAAAGTTTTATAAAAGTTATGAAAGCTTATGAAAGTTTATAAAAGTTATGAAAGCTTATGAAAGTTTTAAGAATTATTTTGAAATCTTTTGAAAGTTTATGAAAACTTGTGAAAGGTTATGAAAGTGAAGTATATCAAGTGTTTTGAAGCTTACAAAAGTGTATGAGTGAAAAGTTTTATCGAAAGTTGAAAATGTTTTGGGTCTAAATCCATAGGACTCATGATATATTATTGTCTTACGTATATTTTTTTTAAATATCATGCATTCCAAGTTCATATAAGAAATGTTAGAACAATGTGATTATACCGATAACAATGAGCTTTTAAACGATAGAAACTATAAATAGTTTATGTAATGTATAAATATTAAGTGCTTTACTATGGTTTGTATCGATTATACACCCGATATATATTTTTTTCTTTTAACTAACAAGTAAATTGTTTTGGTTTTTATGAAACCATGTTCAGATGATTATGATTTAAACTATAAAAATGTTTTCAAAACTATTGTATTTTATTATGTAAAAAATGATGGGTATTAATCAAAATACACAAAAAAAAACATAAATATAATACTAAAACAAAATTGTAACGCCCCGTTTATTTAAATAAATTAATAAAATGTAATTTCTAGATTAGTTTGTAAAGAAATTTTGGAGATTAAGGGTGGTTTGGTAAATTCTGGATTCGATTTGAAATAAAATCTTGAGGGAAGGGGCTAAAGTGTAAGTTTCAGATGTAATTTGAAAACAATTTTAGAAA